AAGGTGTTAAGTTACTGAAGTTGTTTATACTTGTCTGGAGGGAGAGGGGAGTCGTTTCTTTATATATTTTTTTCTTATTTTCTTTTCCTTTTTTCTAATTTTTATTTCTTTTTTCTTTGCACATTTTATTTTTTATTTTTTATATTTTTCTCAGTTTGTATTAGTTTTTTATCTTTGCAAACTTTAATAAAATTATTATTTAAAAAAAAAGAAATGCAATGGCCAGGTTTTTAAATTGGTTCATGTGTTTGACTTTGGTCCTGTCAATTTGTCATCTGTAATTCTCTTCCCCCACCTCCCAAGACCATGACATTGCTTTGTTTTAGTCATTTACTAACTGGTCTTGCAAATTTTAGAAGCACATCTCATTCCTATCAGAAATAGTGACAGAATGACATCATCCTCATCTGCATATAGCAGAGTAGAAAAAGGTCTTCTTTGCAAGCCTAGGAGGACGATGGGCCTGAGTTGGAGAGATTAGTGAATTAATTGTGACCAGTGAATTAAGGTAGAGGGTAAGTAGCAAAGCTGCCAAAATGCAAGCCTGCCTCATCCCTTTCTGGGGTGAGAAATGCATCAGATAGCTGTATCTGGAACTTTAACATTACCCACAGATGTTAACATGCCATGTGTAGATAAACATCATTAGGCACCTTTTAATAGTGGATTGCTCTACATTAGAGTTTAATCTCTAGAGCAATATACAGGCAATATGCAAAATACAAGAATTGGGCAACATCTTTATTAAGCATGAAAAAATTATCTCAATTTATTTATTTACATTGATGGAGAATGAACCAGTCATTGCACAGGCAAATTAGATTAGATGTTCCAAACCTGATAAATTCCAAATGTTTGATGTAATTGAAAAATCTTCAAAAATCACAAACACATCTAAAAACCATAATACTCATCCTAAACTATGTTAAACCAAAATGGAGAATAATGGGGTATGCCTATATCATATGTGCAAGTGTCTCCTAATAATGTAACACTTACAGCATAATGAAGTTGAAAGTCTGCCCTTTTAAAATATTCTCTGAGATGTCCAATAAAAGTATGAAAAATATTCTGTTGAATTAATCTTGTTTGAAGATCATAAGAAACATGCTTACTATTTTTAAGACTCTTGTCACAGATATATTTATATGGGATATTCTACTGTACTTTGTTCCAAAGTTTTTGTAAATAACTAATCAGCATCTCACAATACTCTATAATTGTCTATACAAATGTTATAGATGGGTAGTAATTTAGGAGTTGGATCATACTATGAAATCAAAATATGTTTTAATTGGATACGCTGCCATTCCTCAGTCTTAGACAATCCAAATTGCTCTTGTAATTCAAATGAGTTAGGAACTTGATTGACAGTTAACTGACTTAAATTTAATAAATTAAAAAAGATTTACCTGCAGCTTTCAAACTGAGATTGTCTTAAAAGTTTGCCATGTGAATAAGTGTCATGATCATATTTTGGTCCAAACACTTTCCAAATATGTCTTTTTGCCTTTAAGGTTGGAAATATAGTACAATTTTAACAAAATAATGCTAACCCTCTGCAATGGTATCAAAGGAATCACCTAACAACTTTCTAATTGTACCTATAATGGTTTTTAGATTTTATCATTTGGATTCCATGGAAAAATTAAATCAAAATGTATGGCTGGTGATGAAGCTGAATATGGTAGTAACAATCTGAATAAAGAAAATCTAGGAGGTTAACCTCCTCATGAAAACTTTTGTAATAATTTATCTGCTTGTAGTACTTTAAAGGTATTAACACGGAAATCCCTCTAAGTACATATAACAATCTTGAAATAATTAACTGTCACATTTATCTTTTTTCGTAAGCTCACTGACATTTTTAACTATATCAGTGAATTTTGATGTAGAACATTCCAGGTGATCAATAAGACATAACATATTATCAGTGTATTATAACAATTTGTGCTCAGCTTCATCTGCTTTTAATTCCAATGTCCTTTGATTGCCTGATAAAACAGGCCAATGGTTCAATATCAAATTAAATATAAAAGAGATAAAAGTTTCCTTGATGAGCTTCACAAGAATCTTGGTAAGTGAAGAAATAATTCCATTTAGAATAATTCTCATTGAAGGATTAGAATACTATTACTTGGCCAAAAATTGGTTTCAGAAATTTCTACTGCATTATGTCAAAGGCCTTCCCTGTTCCAAAAAGAACACTATTACTAATTCCAGTTTTTCTGAATATATATTTAACATATCAATTAGTAATATAATATCAGAGGTTTGTCACTCTTTTTATGAAACAAGATTGCACAGAATAGGCAAAGGTAATATTGTCAGTAGTCGAGGTGCTAGGGTTATTGTCAAAACTTGGGCATCAACATTTAACAAGTAAACCGGGCAACAGCTTAATCAAAAGAATCTTTAACAGCTTTCATAATCACAGGTGTATAAGCTTCATTAAAAGAAGTTGGGGGAAAAAAGCATCATCATGTAACTCAACAGTACTGGAGCAAAAAAAAATCAATACATATTTTCAAGTCAATAGTATATCCATCAGGGAAATCTGTTTTCATAATTTAATCATATATGTATATAGTACGCATTATTTCTTGAAGATACAAAGGTGCAGCTAAGACAATCAATTTAGTCATTTTGCTTTATACAATTAAATGATTATTCCATGGGCATAAAAGGCATTAATTTTCAATCTAGCAGACATAAAAGCTTTTTTTAGCACTAGGATACATGCTAAAGAATTTACAATTATTTTGTATATGTACTCAAAAGTTCCATAATTTTATATTACAAATTTTGCCATTTTATTCTTCTTTTTCCATTTAATTTTCCAAATTATTCAATAATATGGCTACAATTATGAACATTATATAATGTATTTATATTATACATTTTGCAGAATGTATTTTTTTAAAAAAATCTTCAAAATCATGTTTCTTCTATTTTATAACAAAATAATCCTTTAATAAGTATTTAAATACCATTTTGAAAAAAATAGGACAACTTTTTCTTACAATTGATACGGTTACTGAAGCATGACTGGATATTACAAGAAATAAATATGATATTGACCAATTAAAACCAAGATACTAAAAAAATAATCAAGTTAGGGACAAGTCTAAATATTTTGGTTATGAAGGATTTTAAAGTACAGTGGTACCTTGGGTCACGAACGCTTCTGTTCACGACCAATTCGGGTCACGAACAGCTCCGTTACAGTGGTACCTTGGGTCACGAACGCTTCTGTTCACGACCAATTCGGGTCACGAACAGCTCCGTTACAGTGGTACCTTGGGTCACGAACGCTTCTGTTCACGACCAATTCGGGTCACGAACAGCTCCGTTTACAAAATTTTGCCTCTGCGAACGCCGGATCGGGTCACGAACAGAATCCACAGCCATTTTCCCTCCCGTGACACGTGGTCATGGCTTCCTGTAGGGAGGGGGACTCTCCCTCCAAGCGATATCCGCCTCCCCACCCGCCTTCGTCCTCCACGCCAGAAGTCGCGTCGAGCAAGGTTAGCTTTCTCTCTCTTTGTGCTGTACTTTGTGTCATATTTTTGCGGTTTAAAAACAAAACAAAACATATGGTTCAGAACGGATTAACCGTAATTACATTGAACCTTATGTGGAAATTTGATTCAGGATGCGACCAAAATCGGGTCGCAACCAAATTCGGAGGGGTCAGAACGGATTAACCATATTTTCATTGAACCTTATGGGAAAATTTGATTCGGGTCGCGACCAATTTGGGTCGCGACCAGAGTC